TCAACGCCGAGTCCGAGGGAAATTTATGGTTTTCGATTTTGTGGCGTGCACTGTAAAATTAAGAGCTGGAATTACTTTGCCAAGTACACCGAGGGACAAGCTAGTGGTCCTATTTTTCGTTCTCTGGACTTGTTTCCTTTGCAACGTCGTTTCGTTGGATGAAATTTCCATGCTAAATTTCACTCTCAAAAAGTGCTAAGCGGGAAACTCTCTGAAATTTCCATGACTCGTCGATTTCCAATGCCGCGAAAAGTATTGATTGTACCCCATTTTGAGTCTCGTTCCGCATATTTTCCCCCAAACCAGTTCCCGCGCTTGATTTTTCATCGGCCAAAATTCAATAACAAGCTTCCTCGGTCACTCGAGGGAAGATGAAAAATCCTTCTCCTCTTCCTCCAAAAGTCCATCAGCGCACTCGACTATTCTCGCAGGGGCGCTCGACTGAGCGATGGCCGCGAATTTGCAAATCGACTCGTCGGGAAATGAAAATCAGGCCCCCTCCCCTCGTCCCACACCTTGCGCACGTGGCACGGACTATAAGGAGGGGTGGGCGCAGGGTCGAGAGCTATAACCTTAAATCTCGAGGACGGCGCTGTAACGGCGTCTCTTCGGCCGCGCTCCGCTGCTCCTTCGTACTCCTCTTTCGGTTATATTAGGTTATATTTCAAGTGTAGCGACGACGAAGACGACGGAGAGACTGGGCGCACAGGCTGGTACTATAAAGGAGGGGGTGGAAGGAGGCGACTAAAGCGTCAGACAGATTTAGCGGTGCTCGCTTGCATTATCCCCTTCTCTTTTTATTTCCCCCTGCATGGATCTCTCCGGACATTATTGCCTTGTCTTTCAGCTTTTTTGTTCGCCTTTACTTATTGGTTGATAACAGTACGCATGCTTTTCATCTAATCTAACAACGTGCCGTCTGACCATCGCCGACCTGTACTACTTGACTACTCTGCTTGTAAATTAATTCGAGAGGAGAGTTCCCGCGTGATTTACACTTACAAAAGTGAAATTCCCAGGTACACGTTAAACTGCATCCTCGAGATTCCTCGCGTGTACCAAGCAACTCTGCACCACATATGCACCGAGAAGACGCACGTAGTCCAGCTCACGCGCGTCAAGTAATTACAACCACCTCTTGTTTGATTAACGAAAATATGTTACACATGACCATCCACCGCGCCCCATATCAGCAGTTGGCTAAGCCGCGTCCGTACATCAGGGCGATTAAAAGCTCATGGACCAGCCCGAGTACTACGATGGATAGTGTGTCTAAGGTGCCCCTTCCTTTGCCAGTCTGATATGCAATTGTCGACTACAGTAGCAGCGGCAACAGCAGCAAGTAGTTGCAGCTAGCAGGTACAGCCGAGGGCTCGGCTAATCGCATTACGGCTTTACTCGCGCAAGCCGCGGCTTTAGACAGCATAAACGCTGGGTGCCGGAGCAAGCGCTCAGGTGTTTCCCGACCCGCGTTTGTATACTGCGGGTCGCCGGTGGCGTCGACGATAAATAACCGAGGTGTCCTGGTGGGTGTACACGCGTAATTGTGTGCATCGGGGGGGTGTCGGAGAAACTCGGGGCTCCGTCGACACTGCGAAATCAAATATGAGCCTCGGCTTCCCTGAGCATTTGTGGGTGTGGAAAGGGAGCCAGGGTGGGAGAAAAGAGCGCGTCCTCTACTTCTTTTTTTTTCGTTGTAGATCCCGTTGCCGCTTTATAATTCTTTCGAAGACTTTTCATCCTCCCTTGGAACTTTGCGATTGGCGTGTTTTGAATTTTAATACGGCTTTTTTTTTGTCCGATCCCTCGCCTCTGTCGCAGGACGTACGACGCTTGAGTCCAGATTTACACGTCATGGGCGGTACATTACATAAAAATAATGATCCGGTGGGGAGGAGGAGCTCGGCGCGCGGAAAACTTTCCGGATAATAAGTTGGACGGAAAGTTGCCGATTCACGGATTTTAATACCCCCGCGTGCGCACGTGCCTTTCTCTTATCCTTATCTGTTCTCCCCCCCCCCAGTGCTTGCGAGCAAAAAACTTTTCGACACACTTTCGAAACTCCGGAAGATTCGGCCGAACTTTCGAGCATTTATAATTTTCGGGATAGGATCTTTAGAGCACCTCGAGCCAGAAAAAAGGTACTCTGAACCGGAGTTGGATGTAGGGGAGATACTCTAAATGTGCAAACGGTAGCAACACGTATGAGGAATCGACGATGATGGCTCGTGATGAATCTCAAGGGAGTCTGCCAAACTTTACGGAAGACTCGTTTTCTTACATATTTTCCATAGAGGAGAAAGATTGCCATAGTCTCGTACTGTGTTGGACTCGTTCATCTTCATCTGCACGTGGAGGCGCTACCGGTATCTGTGTTGTGGCGGGAGAAATGAAAAATGAATGGAAACAATGCGTCAGTCGGCTTATGTGGGCTTGCTCTGACTGTACGCTGACTTTGACTACTTAGATATAGAGTCATCCTCTCAAAGTGCCAGTGTGGGGTCTTTGCTGACTGCGTATAAAATTGATGAATGGAAAATGACACTCGTGAATATGAAATTCCAACTCATGGTGATGAGAAGGGACGAAAATCGCTCAACATTTACGTTTACAGCACAGTCGTTGTCATTAAAATGTGAAAAATCATGCTTGCTCGACGATGGCTCGAGAATCCGCAGTCTAATCCTCAGTGGGCCGTTTGGACCAAAGCGTCGTAATAACGGGAAAAGTCGTCTTATCCGAATGTGCTTTTGCAAGCTGGTAACGTCTCTCTCGCGGATAGCGAGCTCGCCTCGGGCACGGCTCGAATGACTTTTCTTTGTTGCCTCGCTCGCGTTCTTGGTTTTTCCGCTGGAGAGAACAAGGTAAGCTTATTTCTCCCCTCTTTGTTTTTAAAGTCTAGGCTGAGCTACAGCATGTATATGGTTTTCATGAGGATCTATTTGTTGAATATTAAGTTTGATGGCTACCTTGAATGAGTTAGTGGAAAGCATTTCTTTCAACGATGATTTTCCAAAAAAAAAAAAATTGTAACCTACGGTCAAAAAGAAACTATTTTTTTTTCATGGTAAACGTACACGTGCAACTACAACGAGTATTTCGGTGACGAATCAAATGGCGTGTAAAAAGTTTTCAGCCGGTTGAGGTTGGCACTGTGCGTCGAATCGTGCCTACGCTATTTCGTTACGTACACTCGTGCAAAAGTATAGCTCGCGCGTATCGATAGAGAAAAACAAATCCAGACGCGCGTCGAATAAATTTCCATAGTTCAGTGCTTGCTGTTTTAGAGCTTTTCTCTTTTTTTTCTACACAGAATTGGTGTCGATGTGCAAGGCTGATGCATAAAATGACGCTGCAGAACGGTGTTATTGATTCTTTGTTTTCCTCTGATCGATCGCCTATTTTTAAATGTTTATTTATCCCAGTATTATTCAGCGCGATATTGGATAAATTACCAGTACCGTGAAAAATTCACACGATCAATCTGATCTCACATAAAGATGTCGAAGCGGAACGTTTTGACGAAACGAGCCACTCAATATCCAAGGATGAAATGAAAATTCTCGAAGTAAAAATACCCACATTTCATGAAAGTATAAACAAAACGGGGACTGTCTGGTTTTTTACTTATCATTTATTCCATTTTTAACGGCTATAAAAAAAATCAAAAGAACCAGAAATAATGAGCAAGCAAACACACTTTCCTTGTAATGCAGGTGCTCACAACACCACCCTCATTTTCACAGTCGCTAGCGAAATGTCCGTCAGGACTGTGATTTGTTTATCTCTTACCCACTTTCTTCCCTATATTTACTCCAAGTTTCCCCTTCTTGTCGGAAGAGCTGTAGGCGAATCGAAGATAGAAAAAGCTGTTTGGATAGTACTGTGATAGTTCAAGCTGAAAAAAAACTGCGTAAGTCTAAAAAAATTAAAACTAAAAAATTAATCTAACATTTTTATGAAAAAAAGACCAGAACAATCGCACATATGATTTCTCGTACAACACGTTCTCAAGAATCTATCTAGATATCTCCGACATCAAGTGGCTCTTCGTCCCACTCACGCGCACGAGTATACGGCACTCGTATTGTTTACTGGTTACATCATCCGCGTGATTTCACGCTCGTGTAATTGATATCGGCCCAAACGAGCTCATCTCCGACCTTGATCGATCGCACGTACAACGAAAACATATCAATCCTACCAATCCGGCGCTTACGATTCCACATCGATCAGCAGAGCTCGATACAATAAAAGCCACGAGGTAGCTAACGGCTCGCGATAACGAGCGCGCCATCGGTCAAACTTCCCTCAACGTGTCCCTCGACTCGATTAATCTTCGATTCCAGGGCGTGCCCAACATCTAGTAAGAACAACATCAGAGTCGGACATTGGTAGAAGAGAATGCCTCGGTAACAGCTTCGTTTCTCCCTTGACTGGTCGCCCTGTATCTTGGCGAGTATTTTTTTTCTGGACGAGCTCGTGACAGCACGGCTTACCTATACTCACGGCGGAAGAGCGAAAAACGAGAGGCGGGAGGAAATAAGTAAAGTTCTCGTGACTTTTACTTCGCCACTTCTCTCTCTTTCTTTTCTTTCCTACTAATGGAGGACTCAGAGAGGCTCGTTTCTTATTAAAAGTTTCTCATGTCGGCGTGTGCCCCGGCCGCGTAATTAAAATGCTCTCGGTGGCTTTGACTTTCCGTTTGAGCTGTGTGTGTTTATGTGGTGGGACGAGGAAAAAAAAAAAAAAAACAATACGGGAGGGGTCGATTTTTCGGGGCAATGGATTAGTTGGGTGATCAAAGTTGCGGGCTTGTCAATCTGACGGAGACAAAAAGAGGAAGAATATTATGTTGCGCGTGTTTGAGGAAAAGCTTACGGTTGGTAATTAGTTTTACTCGTATTTCGGATTACGCGGAAAGTTTCGACTGGGATACCTTCCACGCGGAAGAGGAAGTGAAAGGTCGTGAATGGGAAAAATCAAGCTTTGATGTCAACTTTTTCTTTTCTATACGGAAACGTATATTCTCTTATAAATATGCTCCAACATCGTACGTACAACTTATAGACTATTAATAAATTACATTGATGTACTTTGATTTTTTCGTCCAATACATTGTTTTTAGATATACCGATTTATCGTTAAATAATGTATACTCTCGGTGGTATACAGATTTCTAACAGTTTAAGTCAATGGTAAAAAGGTATTAGTATAATTTAATGCAAGTCGTATACAAAATAATTGTCGATGCGTAACTATGATTTGTGAAATTACAATGTAAGTATGTATTACAAAATCTATCGCCTCGCAGTATTTGGTAACTTTCTTAAAAAAAAAAACTAGCATAAAACAATTTACGAAGCATTTTTTTTTTTTTTTGACTTTGGGCGTACTTAACTACGCGTCCAATGGAAACGCAAAATACTCCGTCAAGGAGTTACTTCAATTTAGTACGATTTAGAACCAGAAAAGAAAACCGCGACCCTCTCAACTACTATATACACTACAATGGAAAAAAAAAAGAAAACGAAGCCACTATCTCGCACCAAAGTAAAAAAAAAAATGGGTCCGCCGTCAATGAAGCTTCTGGTGCTGCTTGCTGTGGTAGTCGTTACCCCACTTGCTGGCAGTGCCGTCGCCCTTGCCGAGGCAGACTTTCTCGACGAGCTCCTTGCTCGGTGTCTTGAGATCGTAGGCCCAGCCGATTTTAGCCATCAGTTCGATAAACGCCGTGCTCGGGTTGAGCCCGTAGCTGCCGAGCTCGGCTGCCTTGTAGTCCCAGGGGAAGGAGTGATGGTAGTTGTGCCAGCCCTCGCCCAAGGCAAAGAACGACACTGTCGCATTCTCCGTCGATTTAAAACTCCTGTACAAGTATACAAGTTTTTTTTTTTTTTACTTATACACACACTTTTATTCCGGGGAAAGGGGATTGATATTTTTCTCTCTTTCGCGAGATGTGACGTTACGTAACGTACGTACGCACGTTCGTGGTACACTCGTAGCTGTCATTTCTCACATGAAGAGTTCTCCCTGACACTCGACTCAAAAATAAAAGAGACTCGTAATTCCAGCTACAAAACTACCTCGCGTCCCTGCACCCCCGGAACTTCAAATATTGAATAAGTGATGCGCGTGTCAAGCTAAAACTGGGTTACCCACGCGAATGTGCCACTGTACACTTACTTGTTGTAAGGTTTATTTCCCCACATGTGGGCGAAGCTGTTGACGAGGAAGGTTGCATTGAGGAGCCAGACGTAGCGTATTATAACAGCGTGCGTGGCGATATACCAGCTCTCGTTCCAAAAGTAAACCGGGATAAGGGCCGGTACGACGAACGCCAGCGTGCACATTATCCACTCGTAGTACCTGCAATCAATCGATTGAAAATCGGCTCAGAAAGAGTAAGTGTGTATAGGAATGTGAATTAGTATCTATGTCCATCGGTGATTATTCGTGACCTCCATGTAATTAGATAAAGCACGAACGGGTTTGGTTTTTGTACTTTAAATAAAAAATTTATGTATTTTCGAAATTCACAGTCATTGGTAGGATTACTCATAGGAAACAAACAGTATTTTTCGGCATGCAAGTAGTGAAACCCTGTTATGGTCAGACATGGCAATTGTACGTTCAAGTTACAAAGAAATGTACAGCCAACAATACCCAGGAATATCACAGATAATGTACAAAAATTGTTTTTCATCTTACAAGTAGTGAAACCCGTAAATAGTCAGACATAGCGACTGCAATTGAAATTCGAAGGGAAACGTACATACAACATGACTTATCTATTACAATCATAAGTAGGACCATCACAGAAAATTACAAAAATTATTTTTCATCTTACAAGTAGTAAAACACAAAAAAAGTCATACATGGCGATTGTAATTTAAATTTAAAATAAAACGTACATCTAACAAAATCTACTTATGTGTTACAATCATAGGTAGAAATATCACAGAAAATGGAAAAAAATTATTTTCCTGCTTACAAGTAGTAAAAACCCGTGAGTAGTCAGACATAGCGAATGTAATTGAAATTCAAAGATAAACGTACATCTTACATGACTCATCTGTTACAATCATAAGTACGAATATTATAGAAAGCTTACAAAAATTTTATTCATATTACAAGTAGTAAAATCCGAAAACAGTCAGACATGGTGATTGTTATTTAAATTCAAAATGAAATGTACATCCAACAAAATCTACTTGTCTGTTACAATCATAGGTAGAAGTATCACAAAAAAAGGAAAAAAATTATTTTCCTGCTTACAAGTAGTAAAACCCGTGAGTAGTCAGACATAGCGAATGTCATTTAAATGCAAAGGAAAACGTACATGCAACACGACACGTATCTTACAATCATAAGTAGGACCATCACAGAAAATTACAAAAATTATTTTTTTGTTTGAAAGTAGTAAAACCCGTAAATAGTCATCCACAGTGATTGCCATTTAAATTCAAAGGAAAATGTACATCCAGTATGACTCATTTATTTGTAATAATCATAATTAGAAATATAACAAAAAATATACAAAAATTATTTCTGAGAATGCACGTAGTAAAACCCAAAAATAGTCAGACATAGTGTAAGTTAAATTAAAATGAAAATTAATATCTACTCACTTGTCGAAGAAGCATATAACAGGATCAGCCTCGATGTCACTCATGTCGATCTTTTTACCGTACTTTATGACAGCAGGATGACGTTTCATCATCAGCCAGCCGACGTGGGAGAAGAAGAAGCCGCGGTTGGCGTCGTGTGGATCGGCTGCGCTATCTGTGAACTGTAGTATTTTTCGATTATATACATGTAAGGCATGATCTTTTACGAGGTTTATTCTTACTTGCACAAAAAGAGAGCCATACGCACCTTGTGGTGGGTCCTGTGGTCCCTGATCCACTTGTAGAAGTGCGTCTGCAAAACAACAAAGCTTTCGTCACCACTTGCTTGAAAGCTCTCCCTCTTTTCTTCACGCGCGCGTTACGGCTCTCTTTAGAAACTTCCCTCGGTACTATGCATCCCGGAACTTTGCTTATTTTGCTCGACTATTCGGTCATTACGGCGTTCCCGCGCGAACTTTGGAATTTCTCCTATTCCTTATATTACTTCTGAGAATGGCTTCCTGTATACCATTGCTCTCATCTTCTATTTTTGCTTTGTTTTTATTTTTATTTTTTCCAACACACACGTTCCATTTCTGTTTTTCTTCTATTCTCTCATCACAACTTCTTCTTTTCATGAAATTATTCGTAACGAGAGAGAATCAATAAATGTTACTCCCATCAGTATTTTAGTAAAACATAGTGTACATGTACACAAAGGGAGAAAAGCCGTACCAACATTTATCCACAGCCAATCCGAGAGTATCCATCGTGTAGCATTTCGATCTCGCGGCAATTACGGGGCCATCGTAGGCGTATCTACGGCCGGTAGATAGCGTCCTAAATTTCAGGCGGGAGCACTCGAAGCCGTACACACACACATCCAACGTACAAACTCTTGAGGGTGGGGTATAGAGGGTGAGGGAGGGATATTTGTTTCCTATCCCGAAGAAGAAGGTGTAATCGCGCCGGATCTCGATTTACAGGATATGCGCCCCCTGATATACACGAGTGTATACGGCACTCGATCGGCCGGCGCTCCATTGCTATTTCCGATACACGAAGCAGCAGAACGAAGCGATAACACTCGATTCTCGCCTTCTTTTTCTTCCCCTTTCATCCTCCCTCTCGCATCGCTTTCATACGACTCGTTCGAGCACTCGTGTGGTATTTTGCTCCTATTCTTGTGTATATCTATCCATCCATCCTATCTATCTATCAGCTGTTTTTTATACACATCGACGTGTCTCCCATAGCTTCGCTCTTCTTTTTCTTTATTTTCCCCAGTACTGCTGTCGTACACCCGAGGCCCTCGATCTTCCCTTCCCCACTGTTTTCTGACATTCTCAATTCCATTTATATATATCGACAACTCGAGGGAGCACGTGCGGTTCATATAATTTTTCTTTCGATCTATGTGTTTTTTTATATAAGGTCGGTTATATGGAGGGTTTTAATTAGTCAAAGGAAAGCGAAGTAGGATAGATTAACTCTCGAAAAGTTACTCAAACTCGAGCAACAACTTTATTGAAAAAGTGTGATGTTAGTGACTTGGAAACACTCTGATTGCAGGTGTGACGAAAAGGATCGATACGAATAGATTAATTGGAAATGACAGTATGTATCCAAAAAGTACCAATGGCTGAATATTATTTTTTCTTGCTGAATACTCGAAATCATTTTTTCTCGTGGAAATGGGTGAACGTTGAATCGGTGAAAAATTAATAAACCCCACACTTGAGATAAATGTTTGCTCTGGTAATTTTAGCCAATAGATTGAGTATCAGAAATTCCGATGAAACTCTGATGAAAACGGGAGGAAGAAAAAGTAGTGGTTGAAAGAGGGTGGGGTACTTTTCCTTTCTCAGTATCACCGTATAAAATTAAACGGAATCGGAGTCAAATTCTCCAAGCTCAATTCAGCTGGAATTCTCGCCCAAGTGTATACGCGCGAGGAAGTGGAAGCAAAAATTACCAGACAGACCTTAGCGGGACCTAAATCGCACCGCATAATCGTAGAAGCAGCAAGGGGTGGGGGGGGCTGTAAAAAAGGCGGTGGTGCACTCCCCGAGGTCCATTTGAATGTTACTTCTCTCTCTCTCTCTCACTCTTTGAAAGGCGGATATCTTTTTGCACCAGCGTTGCTGTTTACTGCCGGTGGTCTCGAAAAACAACCTACTTTCCGGCTCCTTCGAGTAAACGAGGCTATCAGCAGAAGTATCGAGCCCCGAGGAAAAAGAGTAAACAGAGAGAGCAAGCTCTGGGAGAACCGCAGGTGGAAGGGAGAACAACGGGAGATCGGCGCTGGCTTCGTTAAGATTCGACGGTCGTTAAGCTGCTGCTGTAGCGCGAAACTGACTTCCTCCCCCCCCCCCCACCATCCCTTAAAATGCTCCATCCGTGCGATTTTTCTTGTTTCTCCGTTTTCGCGAGCGGTTTCCCACTTTTTTTTTTTTTATTTTTTTTATCGGAGCGGATTTCCTACGATCGCGCGAAGCTACTGCAATAGAGGACAATTGTTCGAGAGTGTAAATGTATACATTTGAGAGTGTATTTGGGACACCCGAGTGTTTCGCGGAGGTGCTTTTAAAAACAAGGGAATTGCATTTGCTTTGTCTCTTCTTCTTTTTTTATTTTAGTTTGGTGAACTAATTCTCAAAAGAGGCGTACAGGGACTTTTTTTTAATCCCCAGGGTTTTAGTGCGCTTTAGAGAAGGCAAGGGACATAACATAAACATGGATGATGAACGTGAGATTCTGGAATAGAGGAGATAACGATGGCAAAGTCATTTTCTGTAGATAGCGTGATCGAGAAAGCGTAGAAGCCCAAAATGAGGGAAGAGAATGACCAGACGAGCCGAATAAATCCACCATTTGTGGGTATATTTCGCTCTGTGCCCGCGTGTTGAGATTTGGCAAGTACGCGTGCTCACGTGCAGATGGAGAATTAAAGTATACTTTTGAGGTGGAAACGCAGTTATGAAGCCGCGAGTGAAATTTAATGGTGTGCGATGTGTTTAAGCGAAAGGGTAAACAGATGCGATAAGTGCCCGCGATCTGAAATTTAAGAGCTTTACAGTGGCTCGAGCGGTTCGACGGCTACGTTATGTGTATGTACACTGCGTTTGCCTTGTCGTTCTGAGCGAGTGCTGCTAGTGCGCTCAACGAAAAACGAACAATTGAAAGTTTGAGATGGTGGATTATTTCAATTAATGGGGCGTGTGTATGTGGGCTTTGTTTTCTTTTCTTTTTTTTTTATCGGGGGAAGTACCATAGCTATGAGGGTTCGTAGTTATAACTCTCAAGTGTACATAACAAACTCCTCGTTGGCATAATAAGTATATTATTTATTTACTGCTGCAGTCGTTTCTGTTGAAAAATATATCACTGAGTAGAGGTGATACGCGCATTTCAATTATTATTATTTATATTACCATCACTGACAGTTTCTATTTATTTGAGATAAAAAAAATCAATTTGTAGTTAATATTTTTTCTCTAGTAGCTTTATTTTAAATATGTAGAACTTAACAGACTGCTTGACCGATTAAACCATGTTTTCTTTATACAAGTAGGCATTAAAAAAAAAAAAAAAAAAAAAAAATTACGTAATTAAACCATCTCTGATTAAAGGGTTGTGTGTACGTAGAAACAATTTTTTTCGATTTTAAAACAAAGTTGTATTACGTAAAAATGGCTCGCTATATCTCGGCTTTCGAGTTGTGATTAAAATTTCGAAATGGTTCGGATTACTCCTAACTTCGTTTAATGAAAAGTAACAAGATTACGAGAGCACACGAACAAACCAAGATTGAAACAAAGTGCACGTATACTGTAATATTCAAAAGCCCCATAATTAAATTTCCAACAAATCGTACTCCATAAATATTTAACGAAATTACTCGAAAACTCCTACGGAACGCACTTGTGGTTGTAAAATTTTATCGTACGTGGCAACGGTGATGTGAAAGAAAAATTATTTTACAAGTCATCACGCAAAAACAAACTTCGTAAATCTCGTTTCAATAAGGAAAAAAAAAAAGTAAATAAAAAGAAAAATCGGCACAAGCAAAAACGCAGAACAAAGTAAAAACTCGCCACTGAGAGGCTCGCGATTTCGTCGGGCAGGCACTTACCACAACTACATGATTCGCTCGAAAAATAAAGCCCACAAATATCTCGGCTCATTGTTGTAAAAAAGCATCCCCTTTCGAAAATATTGTCGCGAAATTAATTTTCCCAACAGTGGAGAGGAAATGCCGCATAGCTTATAATCCACCTTTGTTTTCTCCTCGCCGGTCCTTGAAAAGCTCACCGACGGTCGGAAAGAATTAAGCTCAAGGTTTTTTTTCACTGTCTCTCTTTTCTTGGAGATAAACAAACCAACGAGAGACCGGCAAATCTTCCTGGTTCAGTTACCAAGAACAAAAGCTCCTGCGTGAAAATTTCAAAAACAAACAAGAGCACAATTTCAGGGGGATGGGCTTACCTGGGAGATGGAAAAATTGTCTGCCCGTACGATGTGGGCCTAGGGGTGGGTAGCTCTCGAGTCTGGGTCGGAGGATATCTAGGGCGCGTCGTCGAGAAGTGGCTAGTTTTCGGTTTAAGGCTTCCTACAGCTGTATATAGTGTACGTTATACAAACAGTACACAGTCGGTGCTGCTGGTCTCGAATCGTAGTTTTTCTTCCCTCTGTTTTTTTGTTTTTTTGTTTTTTGTTTTTTCTATACGTTGTGGAGGGAGAGGAAGTAAAAAGAAGAAGCTCTGTTCGATCGCGCTACTGCGAACGTGTATAGGAGTATTTCCGTACGTACAAGATGACGTGTTTCGCACCGACGGCGAATCGGAGAGAAACTCGAGTCGGTATGGGGCTTGGTGGTACCGAGATAGGTACGGGTGGGTGTACATGGATGTTTGCACAAAAGCGCTGAATTGTCGATGACCTTTTTTTTCGGTCTACCGTAGATCTATCGAATTTTGGGAAATGGTACACAATCCATCATTTTGCTTCTGTACAGAAAAATTTTTTATCTTGAAACAAGTAAAGAGTAACAGGCTTTTTTGAGCCTTTTCGAGCTTTTTGATGTATTTTGCGGTAAACTCGAAGAATCTTTTCCATTTTCCTCTAATATCCGTATGACGCAAGTTGATTCTCACATTTTAGCTTGATTTTAGCAAATCATTACTCTAACTAACATCAATAAAAACTGCAAGCTCGAAAAAGCTCGAAAAACGTGGCATGTAATTCAGTTTATGTTCATAAATTCGTTGAGGGAAAATCATTTAGAGAAAAAAAAGAAGATTTTCTTCGATTGGATGGAATAATCCAAACTGTAAATTTTTCGCTAAACTCCATCCCAACGGTATATAATATGCCGAACCCAACTCTCCATCGCGACCGCATCCCTACAGCTAACACCATCACCTTTGGCCGCATCGAGCAACGATACGGCTAAAGCTCTATAATATTAGATACACCCACGCTCTACTCCCAAGCCCCTAATGGATACGCATTAACGAGAGCGAGCAAACTTCCCGATGGAGGGCATAGGAGTAATTGGAGTTTCTTACCTGGCCGGCCATGCAGTACAAGACTGCCAGTAATATCCTCAGCGGCAACTTGGCGGAGTAACTTCGATGGGCCCACAGACGATGCAGTCCCGCCGTGATACCGACTCCTGCGGTTATACCCCAAGCCGAGCCTGTAATTCCAAAACATTATTAACCTTTCTCGCTTACATGCAAATTAACTCTCCTACTTTAATTTACATCAATGTTCGTAGCGTTGATTAGTATTAATATTAACATCCGTGACATTTTGCCAATCGTATCTCTTGATTTTTTTCGTACAAAGGGCCTCCCGATACGTGGGAGAAGAAAAGATGCCGGCGGATAAGAATCTTTTTATAGCCACATAGAAGTACTTTCCGAGCGGAGAAATTTTTTATAGCTCCAAAGGGTGATAAACACACCCTTACACGGTACGAGCACAAAAATGCATCGTCAGCGAATTCCTTTCACGAGACCATGCACCGGCTTACAATGGGAGGTAAGGGTCGGAGGGGAAGGGTGGCCTTTGTGTTGGCGACGCCTATCGGGATGACTCGAGCCGCGTACCTACTTCATTAAAGTTTGTCGATACCCGCTCCTTGGGGTATCTTTGCTGCTGTGAGTGATTATTTACAGAACACCCTCATTGTTTGGTTAAAAGGAGGAAGGATTTTTACAATCACAAGCCCGTTTTCATAAATAATTTTTGACGCGATAGAGAGGACTCGGTCGTCAAATATGGAAATCTGCTCCTACGTCTGGGGGCTTCAAAGAGACAAGACAGTCTTTTGAGAAAATCAAAACGTCTGGAAAATTATCTTCGAGATCTTCGAAATTGATTTAATTTTAATTCAAATTAAAGCGAGTGAGAGAAATAGAACACACGTGTATCCTTAACTTGCAGTGTCCCAGTAAATTTTCAAAAGCTTTTTCCTCAGCAACGCATATATACGACCCAACAAGGACTGTTACCGGGGAGGGTCGCTCGAGTGCTCTCCTTCCCGCGCGATGTAAAAGTGCGAGACACGCTTTTAATATATAGGGCACCGGTACACGTGTAGGAGCCCCGGCAAAAGTTGCAGACGCGTTAAAGTTGACGAGCAATAAAAATCTGTATACCTGGTGGGTAGTAAATCGGTGCTCGGCAGGTGCGCGTTTACGTCTTTTCGCGCGTCGGGTGTACGGTTGGAAAACGAGATATATACGTGATCTCACGGGCCGTTCGTTTGGTTTGACAGGCCTATTTCGCGAGAATTTCCGAGCGCGTCGCCGGAGATTTACCGATCGACTTTAAACCGCGCGAGATGCTCAATTTTTTTTTTTTTCCTTCCTTTTCCCCTGGAAGAAAGTATACGGATGAGAAAAACTCCGTACGGTGCATTAAAAATCGAAACTGAAGAATACAGGCGCCTGTACTCGCTGCACCAACCCCTGTGTCGATGAAGGGCAAAATACATCGTCGAAAATTCCTTTCGCACTTGCTTTTCATTTCGCAGCTCACGTATATATATATATATACGGCTACAGGCAGCAATAGCGCGAAAATTCAATTTCCTCTCTCGCAGGTGAGATTGCGTACCCAACGTGGGCCGTGGAGGAAAAAAATGAAAAACTCTCGCAAAAATAACTTCCCGTCAAATTGCCGACAATCAACTTGTGCTCTCTCGTTCTTTTTCGTCGTCACCCTATATACTGACGCAAAAATATAAATATAGAGCCGCAAAAGTGCGTATATTCTCCCGGAGCTCTGCGAAACTGAACTCTGGGAAAAAAGCCCTCCCCCCCTTCGCGGAAAATTTTGCATGAAAATAGCAGCCTCTCGTCTTTTTCCTTTTCCCCCCTGTCACCTGATAAAATAACACACGCGCGCGCGCGAAAGAAAGAAGGGAACAATCGTCCGATGGCCTGCAAAGTCGTCGATATCGTACGTAGGTATGTACCTGCCAGAGCGAGTCCATGAAACGCGAGAGCTCGGCTTCCCCCCGTTATTCTCGTCCTCGGATGGATGGGTAGCGATCACGGTATGTACGGCATATAAATGCGTGTATGTACCTCTTCGAGGAATAGGAACGCAAAAGGCAATATCGATGGTGGAATACAAAATACGCGTGTGCGCGTAACCATCAGCCGCTCGGGTGGGTCATTGTGCAAACCGCCCGAAGACGTAATATTCTTTAGAAAAGACGCTTCGGTGCTCAGTCACGCTGGCGTTTCCTTGGAAAAATGAGGTACGCGCGATTGAATCGGTGGGCGTGGGATCGAGTGGACGATGGGCCATCGACGGAGTGTGTCCTGCGATTACGTCCACGAGTGAATTCAAAGAAAAATCATCTTGTCAAGTAGCTTTTTTAATGAAAATAAAATTTTTAAAATGCCTATCATTCGATTGATACTCGATATAGGTTACAGCTACTTTTTTAATGAAAATAAAATTTAAAAAATGCCTATCATTCGATTGATACTCGATATAGGTTACAGCTACTTTTTTAATGAAAATAAAATTTAAAAAATGCCCATCATTCGATTGATACTCGATATAGGTTACAGCTACTTTTTTAATGAAAATAAAATTTAAAAAATGACCATCATTCGATTGATACTCGATATAGGTTACAGCTACTTTTTTAATGAAAATAAAATTTAAAAAATGCCCATCATTCGATTGATACTCGATATAGGTTACAGCTACTTTTTTAATGAAAATAAAATTTAAAAAATGACCATCATTCGATTGATACTCGATATAGGTTACAGCTACTTTTTTAATGAAAATAAAATTTAAAAAATGCCCATCATTCGATTGATACTCGATATAGGTTACAGCTACTTTTTTAATGAAAATAAAATTTAAAAAATGACCATCATTCGATTGATACTCGATATAGGTTACAGCTACTTTTTTAATGAAAATAAAATTTAAAAAATGCCCATCATTCGATTGATACTTGATATAGGTTACACCTACTTTTTGAATGAAATACTGCGTTCACGTTGATGAGAGAGAGAGAGATCACGGAATGTGTTACTTTTCGCTATATCTGCATTATTTACGAAGATGCAGCGATTTCAAGTATTGTGAAAAGTCAAAAAAAAAAAAAAAAAAAAAAAAACAGCACCCTGGACTTACTGAACACCCACGTCTGCCACTTGGCCAAGTTATAGTGGAAAATGAAGGCGTACAGGGCCAACACGTGTAGCACGGCGATACCGATGATGTTCAGCCATATGAGGGGCTGCTCGCCGTCCTCCTTACATGGCAGCTGCGTCGGCTCCTCGTCGGACTTTTCGATCTCTTCGATCTTCTCGATCTTGTCTTTCCGCGGCTCCTCGTACTGCGTCACCGTTGAGCTGTACATTGTGGCCTGGAACACGAATCATACAATCATATACATACCTATGCATCAGACGAGCCATCGTAAAAATTTACAGCCAAGTCCCCCTTGGCATCTCTGTATTGCACGCGTCACCGCATCAAGCATTTGTCATTACCGTCAGTTATTATATACGCTAACGGCCGCGACGCGACGTACCCGTTCTCAGACGGTGTCCGGGAATTACGTTCACTAGCACACATGTATATAGGGTGTCTTTAAAAAATTTCTCTCTTGAGCAATTTCGAAAGAAGCCGGGGTGGCAATAATGCAAGGGGCTGGATAAAAAAAAAAAAAGCCCTCCGAGACGAATTTTTCATTGGTTCGGCGGGTAGAGAAGCCCTTCGGTACTTAATTTCTGCGACCTAATTTTTATATCCTCCCCCCGGGGGTTCCATTGTACCCTCGGTTCTGTTGGAGTAACGAGGTGAAAATCGATTTAATTTTTTTTTTTTTTTTTCCCACACAGAAGCGAAACTTTGACACGGAGCAAAGGGTAAAAGGGGGCAGGTGACACAATGCAACCGTATTACATTAATTACGGTTCAATGAATTTTTAACGTCCAGCGCATCGGGGGTGCGACGTATTATTTATACGTACATCGAGCGACCGAGGGATAAAAAGTAGATTTCTCGGAAAAGGGGACTCGTCGCTCCATTCTGACGGGGGGGGGGGGAAACTTGTACCCTCGAGGTATTGCGAAAAGCCGCTGCATTTGAAGTCCTACGAGGTATCGCACGGTCATCCGGAAAAAACTTGAGTTCCGGTCTTTGTGTTGGAAAAGAAAAAAAAAATTGAAGCAGCATCAACAAGCACCAATCAGCGCCCGATTCCGATCACCCGCGCTCTCTCGGTTCGCAATCATTCGCCAATTTGCTCCACTCGCGGACGCACGCGTGAAACAAAACACACTCGCTCCCTCGTTCTGCCGACGCACGTGTATACACACCCAACAGCACTGCAATCTCTGAGCCCAACTGGAGCGGAAAATTTCCCTCTTGGTGATAAATTTGCGAGTACACCTCGGTGCTCACCTGGTGCTCAGCCTCGTCCACCGGAGACTCTCTGTTTTTTCATCCCCCGATAACGATGGGGGAGGGGGGAGATATATCCCCAAGCTTACACATTATGTGCTCGTAGAGCGCAAAACAATCGTGTTCCAGCGATTTACGTCTCGTAGGTATACGTACATACATGAGAGTATATTCTCAAGGATCTCTACATACAATATATATGCGTACGTGCGACCCCGTTTCCCTGATCGATGACGCAACCCCCCTCGATTACAGCGGGAGTTTCGAGCTCCTCTATCCCACCCCTGCTCCTCGAATGTGTATACGGCGAGTGTGCGATAGCCAGGGCCACCCTGAATTTATCTGGCTTTTATCTAAAGCGACGACAAGGAGGATCCCCCCCTCTCTTCCATTCGGACTCGGCGCAGTTGACGATCTCTCGCTCCCCCCGGTGCGGATAAAAGGATTTTCGACCGGCGTTGATATTGAAAAGAATGAATAACCGGGCGAGCTTCCCTTACCACTCCATGGTGCGCGTTTCCTATACGGATTATTGACGTCAGTTTGGGAGGGGTGCAGGGGTGGTTGAGGACTTTTTTTTTTTTTTTGTTTCCCACGTCGATGAACGACCACGGGGTGGACGTGGAGCTTTGAGATTTTGAGCTAAAATTTTTTTTTTCTTGCTTTTCTTTTCATGAATACTCGTTTTTCTTTCAAAGCAAGTGATGAGGAATGAAAAATTAACGCTTCGATTGTTCATTTAATTTGCATGAGTATTTGAGTACACAAAACTTTATACGATATTTCTTTTGTTCTACCTGTATGAATTTTATTGAAAGGTATATTTCGTTGTAAAATTTCTTTTTTTATTTTAATCTTGCAGAAAATTTTTTTTAAATTATTCTTGATCCAATAATACCATACAGATTGGCCGTACGATTCATGCACAGCAACGGCGTTTTCAGTTGTTGATATTGAAAATTAAACTGTGACTTTGCAAACATCCAGAAACCTCATAATTTTTGCAAAACCAACAAACCGAGTAAAATGATTTCAAACGAAAACTCGATGGACGATCGATTAGTGAGATTGGCCCACAGTGCATGCGTGTGTGTACACAATCTCCACTGCAAAAGTGGGTCAAAGTGGGCAGAGCCGATGGGAGGGGCGAAGCGGTAGAGAAAAGGTTTACGATCGCTCGTGCAACCGGTATAGAGTAAAGTAGTTGCGCGTAGGTATCGATGATGAATTGCAAAATACAAGAAGAGCCCCCCTGCTTTCTTTTTGCTGCATGGAAAAAGCGGAGAGGTTTTTCGACGAGGGAACAAAAATAAATGATACACGTGCGGAGGGGGTGGAAAACGTATATAAGCGGCTTTTACTGTGCGGCATGAATTCTGCTTAGGTGGGCAGAGAAATTTTATATCGGAAGTCGATACATGACACGGATGAAACGAGCCACGAATTTTTTTTTTTTTTTTCTGCCTATCTTTTGGCTGTGTAACGATCTTCTTTTGCGTGTATGAATTTTTAATGATTTAATTCACGAGTACTCGACCGTCGATGGCTCATCGATATCTTTTCACTCGAGAAGAGGAAATTCGAGGACTGGAAATATACGTATGCATGGAACTGACTGTATCATGAAAATGTGTGTGGCTTTAAAATTTTTTTTTTTTTTTTTTTTTTATCTTTATCAAAGACATTATTGAACAATTTTTTTTACAAATGAGTGTGATGATTAGCAAGTGAGGAATTAATTGAACAAATTGAGTAATGAGAAAAACTGTGCTTTTGCATGGCAGGCACGACAGATACTACCGAAAGTAAAGAGTTAAAGTACATGGTACCTAAAAAGTGAGTAACTGTTTGAAAAATTTTTTTTGACAAGTTAAAACAATTTTCGTCATTTGAAGCAATAGGAAAACATTACAGAGAAAAATTTAACTGGAACAAAAGAAATTTGTTTTAATTTACAACTTTTGTACTTAGCATACTTTTGTTAAAGAATCACGATTTCTTTGCTATCACAGCCAAAGAACCGATTTCGTCAATATTAAAAAAAAAAATTCCTTCAGTTTACATATTTATTTGACTTTTTCAATGAAGTGTGAGATAAAAAGTTGTATTATTAAGAAGGCTTTCCCTATAACACTATCGTGTGAACTGTCAATTTACAAAGAGCGAACAGACGGATCCCTGCAAATTTTTTTCTCTCTCATAAAGTCTGTGGGAATGTAAAAAATCACGCTCTAGTGTGAAAACAAAGATACGTATACTCAATATAAGATTAGCTAGATAAAAAATTTTATTCTTGATCTAGTCTGGAGTTCTAATTAACCATCCTCTTTACAAAGGCAACTTTAGATCACACATTTTCGATTATTTTAGCGAAGCGATCCCTACTCGCAAAGAAAAATCTAAAAAGGCACTTTATTTATTTATTTTTTAAGCTTTTAAGGTTCAACAACTCGATAAGCTAAAAGTTTCAACACAAAAATTATCTCAAAAAAGTACAGAGGATGAATTTGATCAAAAAGCTCCTCGAATGGGGCAAAAATAGCGATCCCAGTACCTCCAAGAACAGCGATAAACCAAAAAAAAAAAAAAAATAGTCCTCGCGAAACTCGTCCCGTAAACATAAATTACTCCAAAAAACAAACTCGCGCAACTACCGCGTACACGGTAAGAGAATACGCGTATCGAGTTGCCTTAACGCCGGTGGTATCGCTCGCACGGCGAAGCGATTAAAAGTTCCCCGGCACGTATATACATACCAACCCGCGCTAATGAAAGTGTCGGCGCGTGGCGCTTATAAATTTCAATTAAGCGCACCACCGCCACCCACCGCAACAGATACGAACGCGATGATAATCACCACGCGAGAGAGGAGACAGCATCCAGGAGCGTTTGAGAGATTACGCGCGCACACGTCCACGGACGTTGAACCGATGCTGGATTGAATTTGTGGCGCGTGCGCGCAACCGTGCGTGGAGATTTAATAACTCGACCAGGGGGCTGTTTGGGACCATACCCTCCTTTTTTATGGTCCTCTTTGGTGGAACAAATTCGTCGTCTCCATCCCCCGGTTTTTGCGTAAAATATAAATTATCTCAATCTTTTACACCCAAATGAAGGTTTTATCGTTATTACTTGATAACTCGTCGCTGTTTTTTTTTCATCTTACAAATTAAAATGTACCTAATTCACCAAAGTGCCAAGATGATGGTAACTGAAGTAACCACTCGATTGTTGTTAATCATTTTAATTATTTATTTTTTTTTTTTTTTTTTTTTTTTACGGTAGTGAACTAATTTTGAGACACTGCGAGCCTGTATACAATTATACTCGCCAAGAGTCTTCGAATGATTAATATGCTGAAAAAATCCTCAACTGCCCCAATTAATTTGTGCCCTCTTTGTCCTTAATTTATTTTTTCTTCCACGTAATATCACAGCAAAACGAAATCACGTTATTTATCCAGTCGGCTGTAATAAACAAAAGCCGTGGAGCAGAAGTGGAGAGACGCAACTGGATAATTGTTATCGCGAAATGCGCGTAACGAAGAGCACACGCGAAACAACAACAACGAGTAATTTGGTAAATTTAGTGCACACCCGTGGCGTCGTCGTCGACGTTGGGAGTGAAGGAGGAAGGGTGGAGAGGTTTAATTTAAGCGCCGTGGCGTGACACTAATTATAAAGAAAGTGCGAGGTGTCTGACGTGACACGCGCGCGTGTCATCGGCACCGGGAAAAATAATACTTGGAGTTGAAATACTATATAATAAGTGTTTATATCAATGAGTTTGCGCATTTTTTTATGTATACCTACATTCTTTTATTTTATACATTTTGATAACACGTTGGTAATCTATCATTGACGAATTTTTTTATTTTCTGTTTCAGGTAAGTCTGACACTCTCACCTGTATTGTCTAACAAAAAAAAGCAAAGCCCAAATCTACCTGATACATGTGAGTAGATCAAAGTAAAACAAGATGTATTTGCGCGTGAGACCCAAAAAACTCTTTTCTTTTGCTTTTACGTTCGATAAATTTTAGTTTGGGGCAGCGCTTGGTGAGCGGGCATTGCTCAACTTTTAAGCGAATTTCACTCACAAGTTGTAAATTTTTTTTTTTTCCGTCCAAACTTTTACGACCAATCCTTCTTACGAGGATACCGTGAAATTACGTATGTTGCGCACATATTGTGTGTATACACCTTTTACGCGACAAAACATACGTAAATGCGTTTCTCTCCAGTGTATGCTGTATCTTACGTACATACATATATGTATAAATTTACGAATGCCTTTCTTATTTCGCGTTGCTCGGCTCGCCAGGAGAAAGTATTGCAATTTTGATTTACGGCAGTTCCACCAACTGCGAGATTAGTTTCTCGCGCTAAAGTGCATCGCGGCGCTTCTCCCCACCCCTTCCCCTAGTTTCATTATGATAATGGCTCTTGGAATATTAACGCAGTGTTATTTCAACTGCAGAAATAATATTAGGTGATTGAGATCTTTGCTCGACTTGCACTTGAATGTTTTTTAGTTTTTTTCTTGCTTTTTAAAATAATTTTGAGATGTCATACAGCAAAATTAATTATCAAACGATGTCTAGCGCTATATTTGAAAGTTTTTCCATTACAAAAATTGTAATAAAAAAATACGACCCTCCATACGTCAACATGTACATTTGACGTTTTCTATGTTACAAAATTATTATTCTACATGTTTGCGGTTTAAAAGAGTTGCGTACCACCGACGTAACAATTTTTTATTTAAATGAGTATCGTCCACACAAGCTCTACTGTCTTTCCCTATGATCAACACCATTAGGGTCATCAGGGCGCGCTTCGAACCGAATAAAGCTCGCTTTGTGAAAACGACCCTGCACCCAATTATGGTATCGTGCACTCGGCAGAAGCGAGCATCGAAAATTCAAGCGGAAAAATCCAATGCTCTTCCCTCATGAATATTAAATTCCAAACACGCAAAAGTGTCAACGCTCGTACAAAATGAGTAACACTTCCTTTGTCGCGCTCGCACGAGAGAGTACAAACAACATTACGTCCGAGGATTTCGCAAGAATCGGCTTTTTTTTTGCCGAGAGTTTTTAGCGCGACTCTTTTGTTTGATGTCCCGACGATATACGCGTGAAACACCGATGCAAATGCTTGAAATCCAACATACGCCCAACCGTAGCCAAGAGCCAAACGGACGATCCTTAAAATGCAAGCCGGAAAAATTCTCGCGTCTTGCGACTTTACAGCCCGTACATACACCATTCACCGCCGACGATTTGCGGTTTTATTTCTCCATTAACGTCAGGAGAGGGGGGGGGAGGGTCGAGGTGATTGATAACCAAAGTTGATGGCTTCCGGCAGCGAGAGACGACGATGTACCTACAACCCAGAAACACATCCTGGAAAGTTGTGCCTCCGTGTATCGGATAGCGACTCTCGTTATAGCGCGTAAAAAGTCTTCGACCTTTGCGTTTCTCCCTCGCTCCTCGTGCAGCGCAAAATTAGAGTACCGACGAGGATGTAGTTTCGGCGATTAAAACTCAGTCGGGCGTTACCGGCTCGCGGAAACACACAACTGACCGCGCCTTTGTGTGCATCGTCCGCTTGTTTCCATCCACTACTCGAAGTGATTCCGGCCAACTCGGGCGTGCAATTTACTTTCACACGCGCCTGGAGTGGAAAAAAAATATATAATCCTTTCGGAGAGAAAACAACCGTGTATACACGCGTTATCCCTTCCATCCTCGGCGATGAGGCACCACGGGTATGATAATACGTGGGTATACACATCCGAGTATGGGCTACAGCGAGACCCACTTGATAAGAGGTTCTCTCTCGGCGTCTTGTGCGAGTACAATACGAGCTTGAAGCTCCTCGGGCTTCCCCGTGATGGATCATAAACCGCGGGAGGGGGGCTGAAGACGCCTCATCGCTCGTTCACGGAATCGAGGTCGGATAAGTGGAGCTTGGAGGCTTGATGGGCTGCTTTTGTCGGGTACAACGTGTACCGTTGGTGTTACGTTGTGGGACAATCAATCTCTAGATCACCGCGCGAGACTGTCTCTTTCTCTCTCTCTCTTTGCGTGTTCGTTGTCGTAGCATTGAAACCTTTCATTTAGATCAGTGATCATGAGAATTTTCACCTCGTGATTTACGTCTTATAGTGTCGGGAAACGGTAAGGATATGCGCCGGGTGGAAGCAAAAGGCTCCATTTTTCATTGCCATCGCGGGACTGTAACGTAGGTACAGCAGGTACTTTTCTTGCATCAGCATTTGATGTACCCCCCGTCACGGAAAAATTGAGTTTCATGATTGCTTGTGCGAAAAATCTATATGAACGCGCGCTTGGCTGGACTCTAATTTGCATCACTTCCGCGCGTTCGATGGAAGCATCTCTCGCTGTGGGATCTGTAGGGTGAAATCAAAACTTTGGGTATACACCGCCTGACCGCACCATGAAGCTACGAGCCCCTACAATAACGACGCGTACAAAGGTATTATTTTTCGGTAACCCATACGCTACGTGCGCCTGATATTCCATACACGGAAGGGCTACTGTGCGGTAATCAGCGCTCTTTTACAGGTCCGTGCTGGTAGTGACTAAATTTTGCATTTAGAGGAGGTGTTCTCGTATGATATTTCGCCCGAGTACATTATATAGGTGTACTCGCTCTATAGGGGAGTCCAATTAGTAGTATTATACAGGGGCAGGAGAATGACCGACTGATTATGCGCTTCTGCATGTATACTTACGGTTCTCTGTACTATTTTTCGTAATTTACGGTGCCTAATATTTTTTACCGTTGCGTACAATAAACTATTTGACTCTGTCTCGTCAAAAATTTGCACGATTTTAATAATTTAAAAATTAAAAGTAATACAAAAAGAAAATAGAATCAAAACCAGTTTGGATGAAAAGTTGTATTCAAATGAGACGTACCTGCGTACGGCAATTATTTACAAAATGCTAGTGTAAAACGTCAGTATTCATCCTTGCAGTTGGTCATATGAGTATAATAAATCGTCCTCATGGTATGATGTGGTATTTTTTTGTAATTCCATGACAAACAAGTTATTAGTTGGGGTCGTTCAATAACATGGGTTACTTTTGTGGATCAGTTGTATCTAATAAATCGGCATAAGCGTCGCATGCAACAAAGTCGAACTTTACACACCTGCACTCCGTCCCCGAGGAGACGAATGAAAAATACAAGGGAAGTTTAAATCGTATGAGCCTCCTCTTTTCCTCCCTTGGGCTCCAAAAATAAAACAAAAAAAAAAGTCCTGCCCAGCGTTCTTTAATTCCCTAAATGAAAGCCAGCGGCGAAAAGTTTCCCCGCGGACAAACATGACCCAGAAGCCAAGTTTCTTAACCAAATTAAAAAGAGCCCGGCAGCGCTTCCACCCGGCCCCGCCTAATACAGCACGCGAAATTGAAACTCAATCTCCCCCCGGCAGCGCAGACCCAGGGGTCAGCAATCGCGTCCCGGCAGACGGCGAAATTCAAATATCAAGCCGTTTTTTTTATTTTTCGCGACCTCATTTTTCCGTGGCACACACGTCGACACGCGCGCCTGGCAATTAGATCGACGCTGCAATTATTATACGCCCATTGTCCTCCGTTGCCAGCTGCCAGGGCATCCACCGCGTGCTAATTTATCTCTTTCTGTGTGTTGTTGTTTTTTTTTTTTTTTTTTTCTCCCTCGGCATTCCGGTGCACAGTGACCATAAAGGCAGCCCTTCCCTCCCTCCGTCTCGAGAGGAGCACACACACACACGCGAGACTGACTTTTTTATGCGGGTCAGCTCCAGCAGCATCAGCAACGAGATGCGCTCGTTTTTGGGCGTCCTCCTCCTTCGGCTCTCGGCCTCCTTTCTCTCGCCGTGCTCGACTCGTTTATAATAGCGCGGGATAACGGGGCACGGGATGTCTCTTTTTTTTTTTTTCATTCAGGTGCGAGCTCGTTTTCTGCCAAATATCTGGGATCGATGATTTAAAAATTTCACGCGTTTCCTCGGAAAAAAAACAACGAAATTGAAACATTTGCTTAGCAACTCCTGCAAGCCCTCGAGTGTTATCTGCTCGTTTGTTGTCGCGTAACTACACGTAACATAATATAAATATACAAAAGTATGGAAACGTCGTGTGGGGGTATGCGGGTCACGGGCGCGAATACTTTTCCGGTTTTACGGTTCGCCGCCCGCGAGGGTGAGTTTTTGTTTGCTCTTTTCTCGCTAACGAGATATTTGCCCGGAGATCCTTTTGTGCCCAGGATGATGCTGGTTTTTAAATTTCACTATACGAAGGTCATCTGTAAATTTGACGAGTGTATGCCACGTGCTGACACGCGTTACGTGAAAAAAAGGTGTAGCGATTTAGAAAGGGAGGATCGATGTTGTCACACGTTTGAATTACAAACGGGGTGAAAGAGAGTCCTAGTGCTGAAAGGGTGGGAAAAAAAGAGACGCTCGTCCGGGTGGTGAGCGGGCCTTTTTTTGTTTTATTAATTACGTTCACTGACACTGCACTCGGAGCCATTTGACCGGCTAAATTTTTAAATTGGCTCCGATGGCATAGTTGGTAAAGTGTACCCCGGCTTGAATATTCATTACAACGTTTTTGGGAAAGCTAATCGATACAGCGGGACGGAAAATTTTTTATGGATGCTATGAGTGCCTTTGAATATTTAAGGAGTGATTCGGGATACCACTGTACTTTTGTTGGTTTAGTCAGACGTAGTTTCAATGACTTTTGAAAAAAAAACAATATAAAGATTAAAATGCGAGACAAAACTCAATGTATACTCACGGACACTCTGGAAAAACCACTTCCGGAAAGAGCCGCTTACTAATCACGCCTTCAGCTATTACCGCACAAAAAACCACTTGTGAAATAAGAAAAAAATGTTTTAAAAAACCTGTCAACCAACAAAACGGGAAAAAAAGAGCCACCGTCTTTGACGCTGAGTCCTCGAGCAGCTCGCGAATTCGAATGGTACGTGCTTACCGGCGCGCCGCCGATATTATATCCCGCGTGTACGGCCGCAACCACTATACGCAAACCGCAAGAGCCAAGAGAGGCAAAGGAGGTAAGGAGTATTATATACCTATACATGGGAGCACCACCTCCTTGACCGTGACACTGGCTCTCTGCTCTGATGCTGCCGGTGAAAAATTTATACAGTTACCGGCTTCCCTGCATGTGCGTCGTTACAATACGCCCCTACGCTGTCCTTTATCCCCACCGCTCGCGTGGACCCACCGTCAAGGTCAATACACGGTACACTCGAAAATTCGGGCAAGAGAAAGTCGGACGACAATTTTTTTCCTTTTTTTTTTTCCTCCTCGTTCGCTCCTTTGCCGTGTACGCTCTTCCGATGAACCTGATTATATGTATACGCATCGATTCCAATAATGCGAGACGTCACCTGCGGCCGATCCATCTGTCTTGTTTAACTTCCTAGGTATAAGAGGCAACTTTTTTTTTTTTTTTTTTTTCGTCGGCATACTTAATCAGAGAAGATAACGAGGATGGCCCGATAATTTAAGATTCATACGTTTGCTTTTCAACGTTACCCATTGATGGCTCGCGCTTTGTGTTGGTGTGGAGAAGAGAAAGCTTGGGTTTTCGTCCTATTGTTTTTAAAACGGTGTAATATTTTTCAACTCTAGCGCTTTGGTCCATTATAATCGAGAGAAGATGAATACTTTTAATTGTCGCGTGGATATTAGCTCCAGACTCTGTTGACGTTTCCAAGAAAGAAAAAAGAAAAAAAGAGGAAGAAAAACTTATTTTACTCAGTCAAGTCGCTCGTGACGCGTGCAAACGAGCGCTCAATCGAGAGGAGTAGCGCGTTTTTACTTTCGATTTGAAATTTTAATTAATCAACTGGTACTTGCGCGAGCGACCACAAAAAAGAAAATCAAGTTTGAGCAAATGCTTCGCTTTGCACGTGGACATCTCAAAGCCAATGTGCAAAACGCGTGTATGCAAATTGCGAGTATGATCAGGAGGAGAAGTCGACCGCAAACACTCGCCTCATCTGCTCTCGAGCCGGCAGCGCGCGCGGCGTATAATTTGCCTGAGCCGCGTGAAAAATCGAGAGTAAAATAATGGTCTAATGCACGGCAGTAGGAACGCTTTCACTCGGTGTTTTTCTTCCGTCTTTATGCGTTTTGGCCGCCGGAGCGGAAGCGTAAACATTTCGAAGCTGCAATTATTATTATCCCAACCAAGCCGCTCGACTTTTCATTTCGAGCCTTACCTATATGTGTATACGCCGCGTTTGGCTTTACTACCGCATGCACGGCTGCTATCATTACGAGTTAATAGACCAAAAAGGATTTTTTTTCCCTCCGTTACGAGATTGTAAAAATAGTCGGTTTCTTCGACGATAACATCGCTTTTGTTTTCGCGCGAGTCGAGCGCAAAAATAATGCGGTAGTTGTGTGCTCCGACGTTCCGTTCCTACGTATACGCTCGAGGTATGAACGCGAATTTTTTTTTACGACTGGATGGATTATTCCTGGAGAAAGATTTATTGATAAAATGCGGTGCATGTTTTTTTTATAATTGCTGCATAATTATTATCGGTTCAACGGTAGACGAGAAAATTGTATAAATGATGGACGAGGGATTAAAATAAGCGGAAGATAATCTGGAAAAAGTGATATCGATAAAATTTAAGTGTAAATTATGTATAGCTGTTTTAAAAAATAGCGCATGAACGAGGATCTGATTTTTAAGATTAATTCAATTAGAAAAAAGGAGGCTGACTACCTTCTTCACACTTTCATCGATAATTATGAATTTCAAATATTTAAATGTACTTTAGTTTGTTAAATTTTTTTTTTTTAATTCAGGACTTTTTTTCATTGATTTCAAAACTAAAAGTTTTTAATCGTCAAAGTGGATGAGAAACAAACTTTAAAAAAAAATTTTGATTCATGCAAATAGCGAAAAAATAAATTTTAGAAAATTGAAAAATTTGAACAAAAATTATTAATATAGAGTTTCAAACCCAAAATTAATAATATTTATATCGTGTTTGTAATATTTTCCTGAAATTAAAAGTCGACGAATTTTAATGTTTATGTTACTTGCCGTAGAAAAAAAGTTTATGATTTCTCTGTTAAAAAAAAAAAACCAGCACTTCAGATTGGCATAGTTCCAAATGGAAAGTGAAACTGTTCGAAATACCCGAATCGATTTTTCTTGACATTAAATTATACTTGCGAAGGTATTACTTTTTGATAGGACGAATAAAAAAGAAAACCCACACCAAAAAACCAATAACCAAGTACATCACACATAGAGTGCAAAATACGTGAAGAAAAAATATTATACCTGAAACAGAAGCACACAAAAGCGGCAAAACTCCCGTAACGGTAACAACAAAAACCGCCGGCACCACCGGATCTATCACTCCGAGCGCACTACAACCACCACCAGCAGCACCAACAGCCGTAAGTGTCCCGAGAAGAGAAAAAAGAAGACGCGTATAGCCTCTCGTCGCTCGCTCGCTCGAAAAATCACCGAGCCGGCATCGACGACGACGCGATCGGATTTTCCCTCCTGCCTCCCGTTGCCGATACATATATAGACCCTCCCCGGCGTTCGAGGAGCCTCCCCTTCCCTCGAAAGCGTTACAGAAAACCCACGTTACAGCCAAAAGGGAGGGAGCAGATTTTTGCCACGGGAGAGCTCGGCAAACAGAGACGCGCGCCTTTTTAGCGCGACCCGATCCTCCTCCTTCTTTTTCCTCTTCCCCCCCCTCCCCACTGACGCGTATGTATAGGTATGTATAACCAACAGCTCCATTTCGCAAGCGATCTTTTTGTTTGAGCACTCGATATCTATATGGGCACGAGTTTGGAGACGAAAAATATTTCAACCGTGCGACGATTGGCTCTTTCGGGGGGAATAAGATTTTTTTTCCCTCTCATTTTTCGTGTTCATATATATTGCGTGGAAATTACGTTTTTCACGAATATCGGTAGTGTACAGAGCACACATTTTTTTCCGAGAATTTCCACCATCCGACATCCACCTTAGCATTTAGTATGTAAGTTCAAGGGCCCACCTATTGTTCATCCAGCGATTCGTCAAGTTCATATTACACAGCAGCCCAAACGATAAGTATCGGCAAGTATCTCGCTCGCGATGGTACCGATCGCGCAACGCAGATACAAGCTTTTGAAATATGACTGTGGACGGACGAATGAAATGAAAAGAAAACAAAAAAACAAAAAAAAATCGTTTTTGCATGCGGAACCCCTTCTGCCGAATCATCGAGATCGGCAAAGTAGTCCGACCAACTGTACTTTGCATCCCGATCCGGTAGTCGGGGGGGGGGGGGGATCAGCGAGACTAATGCGCCCGAGCCTAGTTTCGCGCACTTATAATCTCGTCTTGACGATAAAAACACCGCACACGTTACTGCTGCTCCTTTATACACGCGCGTCGAGAAAGCCGCGTCATCTTCATTGACTCTACGCTCTCTCTCTCTTTCTCGTTAACTTAAAAGAAATCTCGTACGAAAAGGATATTAAGAATAGTAATTTAACGCGCTCGGACGATAAATCATTACGAGCGCGCAGAGGAGTAGGTACTGGTGGTAAATATTATTAAATTGAACGATCGCGTACGCGCGGTAAATTTAAACGATCCATCGTACTATATACCTATCCGCCACTGATTAGTTTCTCGCTAACTACGCGCACGAATCCGTGTAGCCTGTGCCTTTATGCTCCGATAAATCGGTATTTATGCGAAAACGGAGCAAAAAGTCAACATTTTTTTTTTATTTCCTATACTCTCGAATGTCTCCACAACAAAAAACAAATATCATCCACGTGCGTAACTGTAAACTTTGAGGTGGAAAAAAGCTAAGTACTCCCACATCCCTGCATTCCGATCTATTTTCATTCTTTATAAGAAAGATATACAATACTTCCTTACTCATATGCTTGTTGGTATTACAATTGTAGAGTTTTCTAGTGGTACTCTTCAACTGCAGTATCTAGGTCTGGAGAGGATTTTTTTCTGGTATCGAAAAAAAAAAAAAAAAAAGTGTTTGCCCACAACATGCTGAAAAGGAGTCAAGCGGGTGTCCTGGATAGTTTTTTCCCACAGTTTTCTTCCGGATGATTCTCAATAGATTTCCAATATCTTTGAGGTGCAAGTGAAATGATTTTTCTAGAAAAAGAGTACGAGTTATTCAATTTTCTGGGCTGTCAGAACTCATTCCGAAGCTCAAAATGGGATTCGGGAAGGACATTCGACTTCATACATGCAAAGTACCCGATTTGCCATTGTGCGAAAATCTGCAATAGCAGCGAGTCAATAAAATCACGAGGCGCAAAACAGAAGCGCCAAAGGAGAAATCGAAATCCATTTGTTTTAAAATTATTACCCTCGGGCTCTTTTTCCGGAAAACCTGGCCATAAAAATTCACTGCTTGAAACTCGAGCCGGAATATATACATACGTACGTGCCATGTACGTTATTCGATTTTCCTGAATGTACGAGATATCAAAGAATTTGAATCCTTAATACAACCTAAGACCCCAAATCTTCGTCCATACAGTACACGACATAAGAGTGCCAATGTGTAGAATCTCGTTGGCACATAAAAATAAAGCTTATACGCACGAAAATATCCATAAGTATAGTTTTTTGTCGCGATGGTAATTATTTTTTGTTAATTCTGGTACACGATAACAATGGATGTTTCATATTCCAAGCGCCATCCATCCATCCATCCGTTATTTGCCCTAATGGGAATTAATGTCAACACGTGACAGCCGCCGTGTAAACGTAGCAGTGGCGTAATCGCAGATTGGATTCCATCAAAAACAAGCTCTCCCACCCTGGAATGGCACCCCACGTGTGCGACGGAACTTCTCAAGTGTCAACACGTAGTATACCCAGCTTCCTCCCATCAGACCATGATGGAAGTAGGTCATGTCTTTACGAGGCCGACGTGGTGTATACCTACGCGTAAAGAGACAAATGGCACTCATACATACCTTCTCTTCCATGCAGGCCAAAAGTACCGGTTGTCAACCTGTGTATTTGTTATAAAATATGATAACACATAAGCCACTGAAAGTGGCACTCTGTCGTTGTTG